CCAACTCACACATAAGGCAAGCGCCTATTAGTTAGTTATAAAAAAAAGGTAAATATAGCGGAGATCGAAAGAGCTCGGCAGGCAATGAAATATTAAGTGGCTACAAATGAAAAGAGAAGACAGCGCCACACAGTGCATAATTGCCGAACGTACACACGAACATGCACACATGTATGCACATACTCATGTATGTATGTCATGTATGTATCAAAAACAACAACTGCCCCAACAACCAGTTAATGAACAACAGAGAATGATCAACGCTACTTTGGTTTTCTGACAAGTCAAAAGCTACAAAATAAATAAACTGGAACCGCCAAACTAAGATGTCGTAAGTGACAAGCAATTTTAATGGAGATATGACATCTGAGTACTACGAGTAAATTGTGATCTGTGGACCGGCAAATAAAAGTTCGCATGCAATTCGTAAAGGAACCAAATCGCAGAGTTGATTTTGAGAAGAAAGCGAGTAATACAAATTCATGAAGTTTGCAAAAGTCACAGTAATTTTTGGGATTCGCGATATTCCAGAGAAATTTCAACATCATAACACAACGCGACGTAGAGTCTGTGGGGCTATTCTCAAACGAGTTAGCGAAAAATATCGTATCGCTATCGCAACCTTACGCATAACTTTAATTAGGGTTGGGATAGGTTTTTTCGGGTAGCTCTAGTCCAAGAGCTCGTTCGGAACCCATAGGCCTATTGTAATGGTCAAAGAAGGATTTATAACAGATATGTCCTTAAACTATTTTGACTTTCTGGCGAATCCTAGTAAATCGGCAAATATTGAATTTTCCAAGTGGCCTTGGTACTCAGGTGGTTCTCCATACAATCGGCGCGCTTTCTCTGGAGTGCTGGGTACCCGCATGGGAAGTACTTCTCTAAGAATCGTTTTGCGGGAGTCGAGATGAACTTACCCATGACCAGGATAACCGGATTTTAGATTCATCAAAATTAGAACAGGAGGAGCATTCTGAGATACGATTATTTTATTCTAGCCGCAGATAGTCCGGTCTGTTGAGTTATCGCGATACCAAAAATAAGATGCACTCAATTTAAAAAGTCGAGTCAATAGCCAACTCGATTTAAGGCCATTTTCACAAGGGATAATATAAAGTTCACTGCTAAATGTGAGATTACTCTACAGTTAGTGTAGAAATATGTATTTTAAAGGAATCCGTCATTGAGTTAAATAATAAATTTAATTTGACATGACAAGGAATACTCCGTCCTAGAAAATGTTTTGTTTTCCCATCAAAAGTTTTCAAACCTGACCGCCTAAGACACATTCGGCTTCCCTAATAAATGCTAACACTACCGTGGTACATGAATTCTTTATAATAAGGGTCTCGACAATGATTGAATTTAATTGTTTCGCCAAATGTCTTACAATCACACAGAGCCTCAACCAACTTCTCTTCGTCTACAATGTTTCCCGTATCCGTTGCAGTCGAGTAGGTTTAAGTGAGTAGATGTAGAGGTGGCTGCTGTCGTGGGGGAGATCTCCACAAGCTGGACATGTGTTTGGTATGTCGGGTTTACTCTAGATGGATATGAGTTCAGACGACTGAAGACCTCAACTCTGGCCGTTTCTTATTTTTGGGCAACGTGATCTTAAAAAGATTTGTGTTCTGAGGGTCTCTACCGCTCACCAGACAAGGGGACACACTGGATAATTAAGAAATTGCTCGTTGTGATACCACGAAACCTGAACGTAGACTATTAACTTAGTGGGCGAAACGCCGCGGCCCATAACAAAATTGCCGATGCCTTAAAGCTCAGGGTTAGTTAAGCAGTTTATGCTGCGACCATTCTGCAAGTGTAAGTGTTGTTCTTTATGGTCTGATTATGCATACTTCGCATAACTTAGCATACATTTCAAACTATTATTTTGCATGTACTTTATTTTCCAAAAATTAGCAGAACTTGTAAAAGCTCAGCGATCTGTTGAGTTTGCCTCACATTTTCTTAAGAGACATTTCAATTGCAGTCGTACCAGTGGTTGCAAGAAGTTATAACAAAGAATGCACGAATGTCCATTAGGGCAATCCTTTTGTTTATTTGTAAAATGTCCGCATAATTTTAGGCATTCATAATGTAACTTTATCCTTAAGCACCCAAACCTTCTATCCCATTGTACCCACATATTACATTATAAAAAATAATTTTCCTCAAAAATTATCGGCAATTTTAGGACGATTTGGTGCAAATCTCATAGATTTATTGCCGATAAATTAAGAAATAGTTTTCGGAAAAAATCGCTAAAACTAGATAAGTGTTTCTAGTGTGAAAATCGCTGCATTGGCAACGACTTGAACAGTTGTTGTTGTCGCAAGATAATCGAATATACTATAATAATTAAGTTGTGGAGCTTATCAGGTGTAATAGGAATGGAAGCAAAAGACATAATAAAATTCACAGCAAAAAAGTCAAAGTGGACGTCAATCGCAAATTGCGTTTCTAATGCCTCGGGGCCACCTTGATGAGCGGACGGTGTGCAGTAGGCGGCGCAGCTGCACTTCAACTTGAAATCGCATAGACTCTGTAATGAAAATTACAAATGTAAATATTTATTTAACGACAAA